AAAGTGCGGTTGGGGGGAGGCGGGGATGCGGAAGCACTTAGGACAGGGGGGGCCTCCATAGGGCCCCATCCTTTTTTCCACATGGCCGTATCACTCTGATTTGGATCCGAGGGGGCCTCGACTCCACTCTCCGCGCCTCATCGCGCTCGGCCAGGGACCCAGACGGTCGACCCAAGAATGGTCGGCACGGCGGCGTTCCGGGCTGCGATCTGAGGGAGTCGGGGCCGCTCTATCCTTGCGGGTCTTGCAAAGTAAAAGCAGTCGCCAAGGGTGGTAGCGGGCGGGCAACAGCGACTGCCATGCAATCTCTTCACGGCCATGCCCAACTCCGCGCCCCTGATCTCCCACCCCCGACTTATCTACCGCAAGCGTTTATATAAGTGCGGTTGGGGGGGGGCGGGGATGCGGAAGCACTTAGGACAGGGGGGGCCTCCATAGGGCCCCATCCTTTTTCCACGTGGCCATAGCACTTTGACTTGGATCCGAGGGGGCCTCGATTCCACTCTCCGCGCCTCATCGCGCTCGGCCAGGGACGCAGACGGTCGACCCAAGAATGGTCGGCACGGCGGCGTTCCGGGCTGCGATCTGAGGGGTCGAGGCCGCTCGATCCTTTCCACCCGCCCCACCCTGGCTATTCAGCCGAATTCTTCTCTCTTCGAGAGACAAAGGAAGACGTATAATGACTGATCCACTTCTAGTGGCGCCTCTGACAGCACACTGCAATGATGGCGGCACTGCCTTTGATATATATCTTTGTTCGATGGAGCTCCAATGCCCCCGCAACATCACGCGCCAAGATTCTTGATGATAGATATTCGGCGCGGCCCTCTTTGACGAAGGCTATGGAGTGAGGCGCGCGTGGCGACAGCACGCGCCTGCAGCGGCACTCCCAAGAGCGGCGTGAAAGGCTGGGAGCGTGCCGCTCCAAAGCTGGCAGGGTCCAGCGACAGTGCATCATTGCGCTCGAGCCGCCAGCTGGCCATTGCGGCGGCGACTGGAGCAGGCATCGGAGGCGTTGGCTCGGCACTTCGAGGCGTGACCACAGCGAGAGGAGCCGCCGTGCCCTGGGATACTGGCGGCGCGAGCGCACAAAATGTTGCACTCCTGACAGAGTGTCATCCGCCTACCTTCCGGGGCTCCGATGCTCCAGAGAAACTTAAGATAAACTTGAAGGCAGGGATTCGCCTTACGTGACTGGCAAAGAGAAGCGCATAGCATTCGAAAGCTCGACAAATCGCTGGCATGCGCGCTGGTACTTGTGCCGTGTTCCAGTGTTCGCACGCGTGCGGCCAGACGGCCGAGAGCAGCTCGGGTAGCACGCCTCTCCTCTGGCGAAGTGCACCTACTCGTTGGGCAAGCGGGATGGCGCAACAGCAGGGTTCTTTGCCGATGAGGTGAAGGCAAAGACCGCTTGGATCCGAGCCCCAGCTCGAGGATGGGAAAAGGCGCGCACTACCTCGTGGAACTGCTGGCTCGAAGACCGGTGCATGGCCAGAGCACCGATATTCACCATGCTTCGAGCAGGTGATGAAGACGCGCGCCTGTCGTGAGACTGAGCGTGCCCGCCAACGAAGGGCTGCCTCGCACTCAAACGCATTGATGTGCTTGGCCTGGTCCCGCAAACGAGCTGGCGTGCGACCTCCACTTCCAAATGCCAGCGCTGATCTCATGCCGTCGGAGCATCTTGCCAGACGCCCTGCATCAGCATCCACTCGAAGGTCGGCGCCCGAGTGGCGGCACGTCATCGCCAGCGGGGCCACCACCCTCTGGTGCTCCAGGAAGGGCCGGGAGCACCCCTTGCCGCGCTGCTCCAGCTCCGCAAGCAGGTCGTCCGCGTGGCAGGGCCCGCCAGAGGGGCAGCGGAAGAGCAGCCGAGCCCCTTCCAGCTCTCCCAGCTGGTCCGGGAGCTCGGGCTGGGAGCGCGGCCAGCCTCCGAACAGCGCCACGGCGTCGCCGGCCGGCCGCCCCGGCACCACGGGGCACGGGTTCCCCCACTCGGAGGGGCCGAGCCCCCAGCGGCGCGAGCCGCGGCCGACGTGGACCGCGCCTCCTGCCCAGCGCCTGCCGCGGCCGCGCGGCCAGCCATCTCCACCAGGTGCGGGTTCTCCTCGCACGCGGCCTCGCGCCCACACCGCAGCTTCTCCACGTCGCCGGCCCAGAGTCCGCGGCCCATCGAACAGCTCCTCGAGCTCTCGTGGAGGCTCCGCAGGGACGGCACTGCCACCAGCATCGAGTGGTGCACCGCCCAGTGGCTCAGCCACCAGGGCACGACCTCGCACTGGAGCGAGTTCCCCACGAGCGACCGCTGCAGGGCCTCGAGGCGCTCGGGGTCGCTTTTGGCGGAGGAGCTGCTCATGCAGGGCACGGTGCGGCCCCGCCTGAAGCCCCTCAGCACCTCGCGCTCTACTGCCCGCGGCGGCTCCTTCCGCGCATCCGCCCAGTGCAGGCAGAAGCAGTCCTGAAACTGGTAGGGCGGGGCTGCGTAGCTCGCTGCCGTCCAGCGCGCCACCCCCTTCGGCGTGCACTGGCGGGGCCCCGCGGGCCGCGGCCGAGGCGAGCTCCGCAGCGCCCGGCGCGCGAAGGTCGGCAGGCGGCCACATGCGGCGGCCCCCGGCCAGGAGGCCCCGCGCGGCGGCCACTCCGAGACGGGCGGCAGCTCCGTCACCGGCCGCACTCGGCAGGCCCGCGGCGGGGCCCCATCCGCCGCCGCCTTCATCTCGGCCGACATCTCGAAGGCGGGGAGCCGGCCCCACGACAGCCAGTACAGCAGCGGGCGTCGGACCCAGCATGGGCCCGCGGCGTCGAGGGACACCCGCACTCGGCCGAACATCTTGTTCAAGGCCAGGACCTCGCCATCTGCCATGGACGCCGCGTTCTCCCTGAGGAAGTCCACTGCGGCCTCGGGCAGCTCGCGCCTCAGCCCCTCGATGAGCCTCCCCATGTGGCCCACCAGCTGCGACCTCGGGTCCGCGCTCACCTCGCGGGCCACGTTCACCACCGTGAGGCCGTGGCAGGGGAACCCCTTGATCACGATCACCTTCGTGATGCGGCCGTGGCCCCTCAGGAGGCCTGCCAGCCGAGCAGGATCCGCAGCCGTGCCGCCCCCCAGGTGCACGGTGCTGGGGTACGCCCGACGAGCCATGCGCACGGCCTCGGCGCCCACCTTGAACGACAGGTGCTCCGCCGGGAACACCCCCGGGATCTCGAAGGCCTGGCGCGCCCCGTCGATCCCCGAGAAGACGGAGAGCAGCGCGACGCCCCCCTCGCAGGCCGGGCTGAGGGCCCGCGGGCCCCTGGCCCCATGGGCGCGGCCCATGTCCGACAGCCCCTGGGGGTAGACGATCGCCTCCGCGGCCCCCCAGGCGTCGGACGCCGTCGCGAGGTAGTCGACGGTCAGCCGCATGTTCGCCACGCTGAGCGGCCCAGGCGCGGCCGCGGTCAGCAGGTCCTCGGCGACGCCCAGGGTGATGGGCCAGCCCGAGCGGCCCGACGCCAGCCACTTCCACGCGTTCCCGAAGGCGGCGGCGAGCGGTCTCCGATAGCACTGCACGCGAACCCAGTGCCCCAGCAGGATCTGCGCCAGCCGCCGCCTCGGGCGCCTCTTCGCCAGGAACCACAGCGTCAGGCCCACGAGCTCCGTGACGTAGCCCAGCGGCGGCCGCTGCACGCCAGCCTCGCCATCCACGAGGCCCCCCAAACTGGAAACCTGCTGGGCACGGTGGACATCCTTGCCCGGCGATCCGGGGGACTCTGCCGCCTCGTAGCCGGCCGACGCCCGGCTCAGCAGCACGGGGATGGTCCCCTTCAGCTTGACGGCCTGTTCACTCGGCACGATCTCCGCGATCTCGAGGTTGTCGACGTAGACGAACCACATCGCGACGCTGCTTGCCTGGGCCTCCGCGGGCAGGCGGCGGGCGCGCACCCCCTCGGCCGCAGGCGGCAGCCCGCGGGGGGCTGAGGCCGACCGCCTCGGCATGTTGCGGTGGAGGTGCGCCGTCGCCCCGTCCGCGCTGATCCAGCCCACGCCGCCGACTCTCGATGCGATGCCGGCCAGCCCGTCGCCGCTGCCGCCCACCGGCCGCCGCGGCGCCGGCGGCCCCAGCGCCGTGTAGGGCCACCGGGCGGGGGGCGCCCTGAAGACGCAGGAGAACGCGTTGCGGCCCGCCCCGCTCCAGAGCAGCAGCTCCCCTGGAGCTGGCACCAGCCAGTTCAGCTGCCCCATCGTCGGCATGACGGGGGTGTCCCCCGCGAGGACGCGCTGGCACGCGTCCGCGGGGATCAGGTTGCCGATGAGCCGCAGGACAGGCCGCTCCTCGCCGTCGCCGCAGCGGGCCGGCGCGACGTGCACCTTCGCCACGCCGAAGGCCTCGTCGATCAAGGGGACCCCGTCTCTGATCGCGATCTCGCCCTCGTCGAACGAGACGACCGCCCCGCAAGCAAACGGGGCGCGCACCACCTGCTCCCACTCCCGCGCCGTCGCCCGGACGCGCGCCGAGGTCGGCGCGGGGCGCCTCTGCGCCGGCGGTAGGAGGACCAGGGCGGGGTCCAGCAGCGCCGCCCACGCGAAGTTCGCGGCGGGATCCGCGGCCTCGATGGAGGCGGCTACCCCCGCAGGCGGCAGGCCGCCCTTGATCTGCTCGAGCGTGATCTTGCTCGGCGTGGAGACCTCCAAGTCGTCGTGCGCGATGGCCCGGTCCTTCAGCTGCTCGGGCCAGTCGAGGGCCCCGGCCATGGCGGGCTCGAGCGCGACGCTCGAGTAGATGTGCCGCGCGATCCCGAGGAGAGCCGGGCGCTGGGCCGCATTCGGCTCCGGCCCGCAGACGACGGCCCACTCCAGGTGGCGGTGGCCGGCCTCCCAGTACATAGCCATCACGATCACCCTCGAGCGAGACTGCAGCGAGGCCAGGTCGCTTGGGTCAATCTCCTCTTCCACGGTGAAGTCCGAAGCTTCCAGATCGGGACAGGGTGGCGGTTGCAGGTCACGCTGCGGCCGCCCCCGTCTAGTTGGCCGAAGCCCGCTGCCCGCTGTGCGTGAACTTGACCCTGTAGACCCCAAGCGACCGTAGGAACTCCCGCGTCCGCTCCTCGAGGATCGGGCCCGCGTGCAGCGGGCGGCGGAAGGGCTCGGCAGCAGCCCCAGCCTTCTCCTGCCACGTGCGGAAGAGCACCGCCAGGGGGGCGCCCGCCTCTGGCCAGGCTGCCCAAGCGCGCGCCACCTCCCGGCCTGCTGCTAGCGAATCAGCTGGCGGCTCTGGCTCGCCCATGCAGCCGGCGCGAGCTCCCGCTGGGCCAAGAGGGTTCGCATCCTCACGTGCATCATCACCTGAGCGCGCCCCCGCCTCCAGTGCTAGCGGCCCTTGCCGCGGCCCTTCCAGGGCGCCGGCCGACCGCGGCCAGGAGGCCCCCCTCTCGGCGCCCGACGCCCGCGGCGCTTGCACCTGCCCTTCGGGCTGCCGCCCCGCACCTGGGGAGCCCCCCCGCCGACCTGCGCTGCCGGCTGGTCCCGACGGAAGGCGCGGACTTCGGGGGCGCCCAGCAGCTCCGCGCGGCCCGGCGCCGCCGCAGCACCAGAGCGGGGGCTGCCCCCGCGGGGCGTTCGCGGGCGGAGCGGCGAGGGGGGCCGCCCTCCGGCGCCTAAGGGCGCTCGGGCGGGGGACCTCGAGGCCTCGCGATCGGCTGCGGGACCCTCCGGCCCGCTGGCACCCTGGCCCGCGGCCGCTGCGGCCCCGCCGGGGCGGGCTCCGCCGCGCCTCGCCGCGGAGAAGGCCCGACCGCGGCGAGCGGGGTCGCTCCCGCGCCCGCGGCGCCGCCCTGGAGAGGGCCCTCGGGGCGGCTCCGCAGCCGCCGTCTCCTCGGGTCAGCGGCCGGGGGCTGCCCCTCGCGCGGACCCCCTCCAGTCGCCGCCGCAACATCGCCGACCTCCGCGCCGACTCCTGCTCCTCGCGGAAGGCGAGCGTCGGGCGGATGCTCTCGTCCGCCTCCAGCTCGTTGGCAATGTACCAGCTGCCGTCGTTCAGCGCAATCTCCAGCGCCCTGAACCGCTGCCTCAGCGCGTCCGCGAGCGACGCCAGCAAACCGTCCTCGAGCGGGTCCATCGCTGCGGCCAGCGCCTGGAGGTCGCGCGCCGCTCGCTCCCCGACCGAGTGGAACGGGTGGTGGCCGAAGACCGGGGCCTGGAGGTAGCCCCTGATGCGAGGGCGCACCGCCTGTCCGACCGCCCCCTCCCGCAGGCCCACGACACGCGCGATCTGGGCAGTCGCTTCGTCGTGCAGCGTGCCTGGGCGCCCGTCGGCCACCGCCAGAACGGCGTTGCCGCGGGAGGGGGCGACGCGAAAATCCAGCTGGTCGCCGCCGGCCTGCTCCTCGCCATCGCTTCGCGACTGCGCGTGACGGCGTCGGCCAGCCACCAGCGGGCACGGCTCGACCAGGCTCCGAGCCGACCGCCGGCGCAGCCAGGCGGCGTGCCGTTCGCCGCGCCCGTCCAGCCGCGAGGCCCTGCAGGCCGCGGCGCCGCCCGCACAAGGGTGCAGGGCCCCTGGCCGCCCGGCGCCTGGGACGGGGAAGCTCGGGTCCAGCTCGAGGGCGTGGGCCGGCAGCGAGCCGCCCCCGAGGCTCACGGAGAGGTAGACCCCGTCAGGGCCCGGCGCGCGCGCCTCCACGACCTCGATCGAGCGCCGTGCCCTCCACCTCGCCCGTCGGGTCGTGCGTGAGCGTTTCCAGCACCGTGCCGGCCGTGAAAGCGTCGAGCTGCAGGGCCGGCGAGCCAATGCAGGAGACGTCCACCAGCCGCGCCAGCGCCACGGCGCCACCGCCGGCGGGCGCCGGCCCTGCAGCGGCTGCCACGTCGCCACCTCTGGCGCCGGCAGCATTCGCCCCTGGCAGCGGGGGCCCAGGCGCCGGCGGCGCGCCAGGCGGCGGCCCCTCTCCTGGAGCAGGCAGCGCCGCCAGGGCCCCCACAAGGGCCGCGCTGGCCCCAGCCACGGCGTCGGGTGGCGCCCCAGGCGCAACGCCCCTCGGCGCGGCGGCAGGCGGGCTCGGCAGCGCTCCAGCCGCAGCCCCCAGCGGGGGGGCCCCAGGCAGCAGCGCGGCGCCTCCGCCGCCAGGGGGAGCGGCAGCGCCGACGAGGGGTAGCGCAGCAACCCCCGCGCCGGGGCCACCTGCCGCGGCTCCCGCGCCCCCTTGGGCGTGGCCACGCCTGCGGCCCGCCGTCGCTGCGCCTCGGCCTCCGCCGCGGCCGCGCCCACGGGCGCGCTCCCCGCCGCGCGCGATGCCGGGGCTCTGAGCTGCCGCCTTGGCCCTGCCCTTCGCCTTGGCCTTAGCTTTGGGCGGCATCCCGGACGACCTCGTCCGCCAGCCGTGCCAACGCCGCCAGGAGCGCCGTCAAGTGGCGCGCATCCTCCAGCAGCAGCGCCCGCTGGCCCGGCGTCAACTGGGCCCGCCCGGCTTGTCGCCGCGCCAGCGCTAGGAGGTAGCCCCGCTCGCACACCTCCCATGCCGGCCGTCCAGGGTCAGCGCCAGGGACACCTTGGGGCCGAGCCGGCCCGAGCACCACCCGCTTGCAACATCGTCCAGGCGGTCGCGGGGGCCAGCCGGGCGGAGACCCGGGAGGTGCGGGGACTGCCTCCTGGATCGGCTCCCAAGCTGGTGGCGGCAGCCCGGAGCCAGAATCAAACATGCCCCGCAAGGCCAGAAGCCTCAAGAGACCGAGCCACAAACAGCGACTGCCATGCAATCTCTTCACGGCCATGCCCAACTCCGCACCCCTAATCTCCCACCCCCGACTTATCTACCGCACGCGTGTATATATTCATATATTGCATCCCATAACTTGCACCACTAATATTGCGTCACGTCAACCACCCCGCATATTTTCCACCTCGCATCCTGTACCACACAGATTGCACAACGTAGATTGCACAACATAGGTTGCACCAACTAGATTGACCAACTTATCCTGCACATATATATATATATATATATATATATATATATATATATATACACGGTTTGAAGCATTCTGTTTGGGTTCCACTCTGGCTAACATATCGAGAGGTATATATCTGCCACTGTGCCTTGTGCACGTTGGGGCGTGTTAGACTGCTCTGTTGCTGTATGACAAAGTTTTTTTACTGACTTCTGTGGCCGACACCATCTCCTGGTCGCGCACGCCTCTGAAAAACTGGCCCCTTCTCCTGAACGTATTTTGTGTACTTTCATATCCAACTACTGTTTGGAAAGGTTCTGGCCGAAAAGAATGTCAAAGCATTTCAAAACCATCACAAAATATTCGACGCGGAAATCTCCATAGGCACATCTCAGTTCCTGGCACTTCTGTTCGTCAGTGTCTTGCCCAATGGCGACTGAGAGCTCTCTGGCGGCTCCGTGATGGGGCGAGCGGGGGGGGTGGCCTTCGCCGCGTCGCTGCCGAGGTCCCCTGCCTTCGGGGCGAACCTGGCGCTGCCCCATCCGCACGCCGGAGCCACCTCGGGGCCCGTTGTCCGGAGCAG